GCATCATCATCATCACCATCTTCATCATCATCAGCAGCAGCAGCATCACCATCATCATCGGTATCACCATCATCATCATCATCATCATCAGCATCATCAGCATCAGCAGCATCATCATCATCAGCAGCATCATCAGCAGCATCATCATCAACAACAACGACATCAGCATCATCAGCAGCATCATCAGCGTCATCCGCATCATCATCGTCAGCAGAGTCATCATCAGCATCATCATCGTCATCAACATCCTCATCATCATCATCATCATCATCAGCATCAGCATCGTCATCATCATCAACAGCATCGTCATCATCGGCAGCAGCATCAGCATCATCCTCATCATCAGCATCATCATTAGAAGCATCAACATCATCATCAGCATCATCAGCATCATCGTCATCATCGTCGTCCTCAGCAGCACCACCAGCAGCAGCATCATCATCAGCAATTACCAGCATCAGCATAATCAGCATCAGCATCAGCATCATCATCAGCATCATCATCAGCATCATCAGCATAATCAGAATCAGCATCACCACCACCATCATCATCGTCATCATCAGCAGCAGCATCAACACCATCGCCGCATCATCGTCATCAGCAGCATCATCAACAGCAGCATCAGCATCAGAATCAGCATCAGAATCAGCATCATCATCATCAGCATCATCAGCATCATCTGCATCATCATCATCATCATCAGCATCGTCATCATCATCATCATCATCATCATCATCATCATCATCATCATCATCATCATCATCATTACCAGTATCATCATGATCAACATCATCATCAGCATCATCATCATCATCATCATCGGTATCAGCATTAGCATCATCATCATCAGAATCAACATCATCATCATCAGCATCAGCATCAGCATCATCATCATCATCATCATCAGCATCATCTGCATCATCATCATCACCAGCATCATCGGCATCTGCATCAGCATCATCATCATCATCATCATCATCAGAATCAGCATCATCATCAGCATCAGCATCATCAGCTATATGACCCCGCGCATTACAGCTAGCTGGAAGGATGGGGGTCTCGCCAGAATGGCATGGCCACGGTGCCTTCGTCTGTCGAGTCCAGGGGGGGCGTCTCCCGCAGCGGGAATGGACTATTGCATGGGAATGCGCAGAGTGGACTTGGGAGGGGAGGAGATGGTGCGCTGCATCATCTTTCATGCGTCTTGGGTTTCCTCTGGTCCTCTTCCTCCTCCTCCTCCTCCTCCTCCTCCTCCTCCTCCTCCTCCTTCTCCTCCTCCTCCTCCATCTCCTCCTCCTGCTCATCCTCCTCCTCCGCCTTCTCCTTCTCCACCTCCTCCTCCTCTTCCTCCTCCTCCTACTCCTCCTCCTCCTCCTCGTTCTCATCATCATCATCAGCATCATCCTCCTCCTCCTCCTCCTCCTCCTCCTCCTCCTCCTCCTCCTCCTTGCCTTGGCAGCCCCTGCTGGGTTGCTCCTGCGCCTCCCACCCCCCACCCTCTGGCCCCGAGGAAGGCGGAGGGACCACGGGCAATCGCCAGACGAACGAGAGCCGCCGCGCCGCGGGGCAGAGTGGGGCCCGCCAGCCAAATCGGCGGAGACAAGAGGGGCGGACAGCTATCGGGGATGGACAGAACCCCCTTTCATAAAACGTGGTTTAGTAAAAACGATCTCGGACCCAGAACTGGCGGGCGCAAGCCTGGAAAATGACGGCCGCGGCGCCCTCTCGAGAATCGAAAACGGACAACTCACTTGTCGACGTGTCAGGGTGGGTTCTGCCCATCCCCGAGGATAGCCGAGGGCCCTGGTCGAAGATGAGGGGAATACGTGCGCGCGTGCGTGAATCTTCGGCCTCGACGCTGCTCTCAGGGGCGAGGGCGGGGATCGCGAGGGAGGGCCTGGAGCCCCTCCGGGCCCACAGATCTGGACGGACTTCAGTCGGTGGAGATTTCGGCCCTCGGGTCGTGACAAAAATCGCGACGGAGGGTTCTTTGCTATTTTCGTCCTCGAGGGGCTCTCGCTGGGCCAGGGGACCGTCAACAGTCGAACTGGGATGAAACACCGGTCCTCGGGAATGGGTAGAGACTTCTGGGGGGTCGACATTGTGAACAACAAACATGACGTCGGGGGTTATGGGATCGCGGGTTCCGGGAACACTGAAATTGGGCGACGAAATCTCTATATCTATACATACATTATAAATACGTGTAAATAGATGTTTGCATGTGTATAGATTTCATATATATACATACATACATACATACATACATACATACATACATACATACATACATACATACATGCATGCATGCATGCATGCATGCATACATACATACATACATACATACATACATACATACAAATGTATATATGCACTGCTGCTCCCTGGCCAGGCCCATCCTGGACCCAGGAGCTTTGTACACGCCCTCCCGGCCAAGCCAGGAAGGCGCGGCGTACACACCGCTGCCGCGTTCTGCACGGGCTCGGCCATGGAGACCGGTATGGAACATCAAGCGTGTTTAAATAATGATCTGTTGGCCAAAAAAAAGAATGTGGAACATCACAAGTTAGTTACTACAACCAATGAGCATGAAAAAAACGTGTGATGCTCCATATCGCCTTCTCATGACACCCCAGAACCTTATGTTGTGAGAAATAAGGTTTAAGAGAGTCTCGTTGCTTGCACTTGCCAAGATGTATCGACTTCGTCGACCCATGAAGTCTCCAAAAACATCCTTTCTTGGGAACAACTTGTTCCCTTCCGCCAGCGTCCGCCGGCTTCCGCGAGCGGGCCCTCCGCCCCTTGCTCCCTCCGCCGCCCTCCGCCGCCCCTCCGCCGAGAGAGCGAGGCCCGGCGCTCAAGCCCTCGAAGGCGAGGCCCTGTCTTGAGCGCGCCGAGAGATATCGACCGATCGGAGTTTCAGCCAGGGACCACAAGCAGTGGAACCCCACTGGGATCCGACGTCGCGAGAACGTTCGGCATCCAAAAGAGGTCACGACCAAAATCCTAGACCCTATCTCTCGGCACTTCTCGAGACGGATCGACCTGTGATTGCCCCAGGGCCTCAAAACCCGGACCCCCGACGTCGTGATTCGTTCACAACGTCGACCCCCAGAGGCCTCGACCTCTTCCCTGGGACCTGTTTTTCATACTGAACCGTTTTTCGACGGCCCCGAGGCCCAGTGAGGGCCCCCCGAGGCCGAGAATAGCGAAAAGCCTCCCGCCGTGATTTTTGTCCTTCAGCGCGAGGGGGCCGGGGAAAAAAGGAGCGAAAACGCCCCGTGCGAGAAAAAATTAGCCTGACGAGGGACCCAACCATATACAGGTGTGAGTACCGCAATAGTGATTCACTTTTTCGGTGGCGATCCCTATG